AACCTCGTTGTGTCTCAAGCAAAAAGAGATTGGAAGGTCAAAGAGGAAAGGATGATAACCTACCACCAAACCTTGGGAATCTGATTCTACCGAATCTTGTGCGTCGGAATCAGATTCCAGCTCGACTGAGTCTGAGTCCGGTATTCCTGGGGGTGATAACCCGGATACCACAGTCCTGTCTAGGTCGTCTTTTTCATTTTCTTTTGAGTCTGTTGTAACAGAGGAATCTGACGGCTTGGAAGTATTTAATGAGAATGATGTGGATGTGGTTTCGGCGAGCGGGGGTGCTCACGAAGTGACCTTCCCCAATCGTACCCAAGTTCCCGAGCCGAGGCAACTTTGGTGATGACGGACACGTGGCCTTTTGGCACCGAGTCAGGGTTTCCTAAATTTCCCAAAATAAAATATTTAGGTGGCGACTCTGTATCTGGCAAAGCAGTCCATGTTTGGCACTTCTTTCAAAAATCAGTTTTCTCAAAACGATTTGCCGGATTTGGACTCTTTGGTTCAGACTTAGAACCGTGACCAACGAAAGTCGAGTCCGAGCTGTGGCGAGGTCCCCCGCGGGCTTGTTACAGCATGGTGGGCCTCAATGTGATCCCCTGTCTTTATGCTTCAGACTCAACACAGGGTGACACAATATGTAAAAATGGATTTTTGGGGAACAAACAGTGGAAATATGGCGTATTTGGGATTGTTTCGGAGCTTAAATATAGCTCCTTCTTTGAGACCTCGAACCATGCACAACACCACTTTCATCATCGAGTGTACCGAGCAAAGCGTTCGAGCCTTGCGGGCGGTAAAAAATGGGGTGTCTACAGACTGCTTCAACTCAAATTTATAGAGTTGACACATCTCTTACCCCATCAGAATGTATTGGAGGCACACCGAGAATTATTGACATGATGTGAACTCAACAATCCATGAGTGCTATGAATCAAATTTATGGAGCCGTACCGTCTTCTTTTGTTAACTTCAATGTACAAATAGACTGAAATGAGTCTTGTTTTCGTTAGTTGGAAACTTGTAATTTTAATACATTTTATGTAACTTAACTTGGAGTTTATTTTGTGGTGGGAGTAATTTAATACATCTTTCTTTGTTACTTGATGGAGCATAATTTATGAGATTTATAGAAATTTGATGTTGCTTTATCGTTATATTTGTTGTCTAGCTCTATACAGATGTGTATGAATTGGTCTTCTTTGGGAATGTTTTATGTTGCAAGATCGGACTTGGAGCTAGAGTGGTGTGTGTTGGTTTATTTTTGTTGAAAACATGATAAAAAATCTGTTAAAGCTGTGTTAGTTTGAAGAATGATTGAACACAGGCCCAAAAAGTTGTGTTCAAAATCTGTTTAGAAATCTGTGTTAAAGAATCCGTGTCCAAAAATCTATCTTAAAAAACTGTGTTGAAAAACCTGTGTCCAAAAATCTATCTTAAAAAATTGTGTTGAAAAACCTGTGTCCTAAAATTTGTCTTCAAAAACTGTGTTGAAATACTTGTCTTCAAAATCTGTGTTGAAAAACATGTGTCCAAAAATCTGTCTTCAAAATCTGTGTTGAAAAACTTGTGTCAAAAAATCTTTCTTCAAAATTTGTGTTGAGAAACCTATGTCTTCAAAATCTGTGTTCAAAATATCTGTATATTTTATCTGTGTTAAAAAATCTATCTTCAAAATCTGTGTGCAAAAATCTGTGTTAACAACCTGTGTATAATCATTCTTCAAATAGACAAACAGATAACAACCTGTGTTCAATCATTCTTTAAACAAACAAACAGATAACAGATTACATCTTCACACTTCTCAAAAATATCTGTCATATATCATAAATCTTCATACATATCATTTATTTCAACTTCTAACTTTCATATAAATTATTACATCTTTATAACTAATAGAACACCAATTACAAGGAAAAAGAAGATCCCATAAATACAACACCAACTTCGAATTATGTCTGTCTGCAATTTTTGCATCTGCGCGCTCTGAATTGAAGTTGTTCGCTTTGAAATCGAAGTTGTTTGGTGACAGTTGGTATATTGTCCATTTGCACTTGTCCTTCATGTCTACACTGTGAATTTGTAGGCAAGCACCATCCAATAAAACTACCGCAATCATGACAATAATAAAATAACTTGTTTTTGTTTTACTCCGTCTCAAAAATTCGAATAGTTGCTTTTTTTCGACATTTAGGACAATTTTTGTTGCAATATGTCAATTGATCTGAGGTATTGCCGCTAACACTTGAAGTTGACATCTACAAAAATATGAAGCCAAATCTCAATCAATTAGTGTACAAGTCTAAGGTATACCCCATGGTGAACCAGTTATGCTCAAACAATTAGCGTCAACCAGTTATGCTCACACTGACTAATCTATTTCAGTGTGCATGGATTAAAGAAAAAGGTTTATCATAAGAGCTGCTGGGTTCCATTCAAATTTGAATGCAAGATCTTTGTACCTTCTTAATATGCAAATATAACCAATTAAACTTTCTTTTTCTCTCCTTTTTCAATTTATGATATAACCATTTAGACTTGTATCAAATACAATCTTGGAATGTATTAAACCACTTAATGCGAAAGAAACTTTAAATTCACAATAAGGTATTTAACAGAATTACTAAAATGCATTAAACATTTACCTTTTAAGTTTTATTATGTTCAACTTAATCAGTCAATAGCCAAAATTGCAAAATTACACCATATTAGTATAACTAATTGATGTTCTATGCCTCCTTTCTAGATCTTTTCCAACATAGCTAAAATTATTTTTTGGAACAATAGTTTTTCTATTGAAAAAAATGTTAAAAAGTGCAAATTAGTAAAGCACTAGCTCTTTTCAGGAAAAGTCAGCACACTATTCACTGGTGGCTAAGCAGCTGTTCTCTTCTTTGCTCAAAAGTATCAAAATATGATTTGGATAATGAGTTCACTCTAAATAGCTACACCACTTAATCCTACAATTTTCAAGGTCACCACTTAAGGTTGTGTTTTTTTCCATTCCACAATTAGGTGATGCATGTTTTTGTCCTCGTAGAAAATTAACTATGGTCAATTAATGCCTCGCATTTTTAGTGCATATTTAGCAGGTCAATTAACAAATTGAATGCATATGCATATGTTAAAAAAGAGCCAAATTGAGTTTACTTGGGAATTTCTTTGCACTCAAATTTATTATAACTGCAGGTTACAATCAGTTCAATATATAGCTATCTATTAAGTAAACAATCTTTAGCACCTAATTATTCTACTAATACTGAATCAAGAAACCATAACATGCAGCATGATATTTCTTCTTGCAATAAAGTTAAAGAGAATCAATTGACTTGAGGTTGGCAAGTCAAATAAAAAACAAAGGTGAAATTAATAATGCAATATAGTTCACAACAAAATCTGACATATGACTCCACCAAGTAACAACTTTCATCTTTCCCCAAGATAATAATCAATACAACAACTTTAAGGCATGGAAATGTATACATTCAAGTTTGTCTACCCTTCCAATAGGTTCATATTAATTAATTCCAAAGAAACCTCAAAATCGCAATATCTACAAACAACACAATTCAAGGACTAGGATCTAGCACTACTTCTAGTTTCGAAAAAGATATTATCTTTTCAACACATTTACATAATTGAGCTTCAATGCAAATAAGAAAAGCTAATCAAAGACAATCTAAACCCTGAAAGTTCTCAAACAAATCACCAAACTCATATATTGAAACCATCCAAAATAATTTTCCATTTTGCTATAGACAAAAGTGTTTCCTTAAACATGTGCAAAAATGGAAAGAAATGAGGCACATTATGAGCAGATCAAATGAAAGAAACAAGATTTTATTATCTTCTCACAATAAATGTAAAACAACAGTTTATTTTTCTTTAAGGGAAAAAAAAAGGCATAAATCACCCCTTGCTGCTCTAAATAATTTTAGGTTCTTCAAGTTCAAGGTAAAAAAAAAAATATAAAGTTGGATAAGTGAATCTGTGAAAAAAAAAAAAAAAAACATTCAAGCATGGGCACAAGGGGCACGGGCACATTCAAGGAACCAACATTTTTTTTTTCTTCTGCAGGATTCATGTAAAACTCACATAAATTGGAGCCACAATGTTTTAGTAAGTTCCATGGCTTGAAAATTAACTAAATCAAAGCTTTTATATCAACACAAAATAATCAAATAATATGCCCAAATTCCCTTAAAGCGTCTATAGAATATCACAATGTCTTCTCTTTCTGCAACAAAGAGAAATATGACTACTTAGTTCTAATTTAAGAGAACTGACCTGTCGAGAAAAGATAGAGAGTCGAGAGAAGCGAGTCTGGTGGGAAGACGGAGAGAGACTCGGTCGTCGTGAGTGACTCGATCGTCGTCGTCGTGAGAAGCAACAAAAAACAGTTTGCCAATCGTCGTGACTAAGGACTGAGGGAGGTCGGTCGGAGAGAGACTCCATCGTCGCCGGGGTTGGA